GTTGGATTTCACAAAAGGTCAATCGATTTTACTTGACCAACTCCCCAACCTAACCGAGTCAATTTAGTTGGCCAAATAGCCTACGACCAACTCAACCAAGTCACAAATACTCATAATTTCAACTAAATTAATAGTCTCATCTCTGATAAATAATTAAGAATAGTTTAATCTCCAATAATTATTGAAAATTTATAGCGAAAATACATAATTATTGAAAATATATTGATAATTAAAAAATACATTAATTACAATAATTACAAAAATATAAGTACTAAAAATATATTAACATAGTCAATAAATAGATAATCTCACATAATAATTTAATATCTAATAAAAATTAATCAATAAGTTATAACAAAAATATAATAAATACAATAAGTATAATAAATTAAATTTAAAATTTTCAATAATAGTAGTTTAATCTCCAATAATTATTAAAAGTTTTCTGTTAAATAGCAAAACAAAATAATCTTATACATAATCACTGAAAATACATCTATCACAAAAAACAATAAATAATTACTAAAATATAATAAATATTAATTTTAGTATATATAATTATATAATAAATACAGATTAAGAGCTTAAAATTATTAAAAATAAATATTATTTTTTGAAATTTATTTTCTCGAATTATTACTTGATATAATTGAAATTAGTTATTTATAATATTATGTAAAAATATTAAATTATTATTAATTTCAATATTATGTTATAAATATTTTTCTACTTTGAATTTTTTTTTAAAAATTTATTACATAATTTCGTTATTTTAACTATTTAAAATCTAGTTATGATAAATATTTAGTTATTTAAATATGGGTAAATTACAAAGAGTCCCTTGTACTATGGGGTTAGTGATAAAGTCCCCCCTGTACTTTAACCGTTAGACAAAGATCCCCTTGGCCGTTAAATCAGATGACGAAAAGCATTAAATTACCAAAATATCCCACTAAACTTTTTCAATTTTCTTTTTCTTTCTTATCCATTTTCTTTTAAAATCTATTTAACCTATTGTTTTGCTTATTTTTGAGTTTCACTTCAGATACCTTGATGTTGTCTCTGATTAAGTCTTCTAATTCATCATTCTTCCCATTTTCCTCTTTATTCCGTCATAAAAGGCGCCAAGAGAGAAACGGAGATATAAGGATACAAACGGCGATGGCTCCTCGTTCAGGGAGTAAATTCCCTGACCTACCCTTCATCAGACATCAACCCCACAGGTTGGGTTGCCCATTTGGACGAAGAGGGAAGAAGAAGAAAAAACAAAAAGGAGAGAGAAATATCGATAGAGATTGCGTGTACCGGTGGCACAACCATCCCCGGTGAACGGTGTAACAAGGAGAGTTTAGAGCAGAGGAGGCATGACGAGCCAAAGAAAGAAAGAGGGGAATCTAATAATGATAAAAAGGTTTGGTGGGTATTCGAATTTTAACAAAATAATAAATTATTCATTTAAAAGTCAAAACGGCTGTTAAATATTCCTTTCCACTGCTCCATCACTTTAATCTGCAACCACGATGCAGACGATGTGAGCTCCCACAGGGTTGCACTAGCTGATACTTAAAGGTGGTTCCGACGTGAATACCGGTGTTCCGGCTGCCAAACGTTAAATACACCGGACAATTGACGTAGATATGGTAGTGGCCTGAGATCCAAGTACCCACCTTCCATCTGACCCGTCCATCGACCTTGATTTTGATCAAGACCGTCCCGATGTTCTGATCTTGAGACAGCGAGGCCGCCAGATAAGGTGCAATCGGCACGTTTGATCCGTAGACGAACGGCGACCCGATGTTGATGTCTTTGTGACCCTCGTACTAGTAGGGAGATTGATCTGCTGGTTGCTGTACTCCACGAACACATCGAGCCTGTCGTAATATATGCTGATCTTGTCGTTGGGGTTCCTCGACGAGAGGGTTATCTGCATTAGTTGAGCAAGTTCGAACCGGTGACGTTGAACTGGAAAACCGTCACGTCTTGGAGCGTGAACTTAGGCTTGGTTGGCCGAAGGATCGCCTATACGAGGAAGACGACGAACAAGATTAATAGGATGAAGAAGAGAATTCCGGCACATATTCGCCGGATGAGCTTCTTCCTCTTATGGCCGTGTTTGCCATAGTCCCCCTTCTCCGACATCGCTTCTCGCTGAATTCCGGCCCACTTCGCTTCCTAAAAGCACCGTCTCTGTTTCAAAAGACAACTTTGTCTCTCGAGCCTTGTTTGAGAGCAATACGATTGTTTCGCAACAACCCGGAACGAATGAGATACACCTATCTCGAGGTTGGACCATTTTATTCTGTTTCTTTGCTTTGGTTACTTAAGCTCATATTTATTGGTTTATATCTATGAGCTCCCTATAAGATACAACACGGATTGGATATTGAATGAGAGATGCAGCAACCATCTCTTTGCAGCGGAGGTGGCTATACACAAAGGATTGCTGGATAGTGATGTATGGACACTCAATCCATGGGTAGTCCGGACTCATAACACTTGAATGGAGAAGACAATGAACAGTATAAAAAGGGTAATAAACAATTGAATGAAAACATTTTTTGAAGTTAACTGACAGAACATTAACGGAAGGGGGTCTTTGTCTAACACTTAAAGTTCAGGGGGTCTTTGTTGCAAAAAATGTACAAGGGGGTCTTTGTAATTTACCCTTTAAATATTTAAATAATTTATAAAATATTTAAAATTTTTTCTTATTTGAAGCTATTACATATAATTAAATATTTAAGAAGCATTTCAATTGATAGTCCAGAAAAACATAATTTAAATTGTTAGCACATAATTTTGTGATATATTTTGTAAAAATATAAAATTATTTTTTGTATTTTTAATAAATATCTTAAAGTTATTATATAATTTTGTTAGAATATTTAAATACTTTTTAATTTTTTTAATCTAAACTTTCTTTAGATAGATATATATAAAAAGTAGAGGAGATGATAAATAGGAATTAGAGATGATTTAGGAGAGAAACTCTCTACTAAATTACACATAACTTTGGAGATAAATAGGAATTAGAGATAATTTTGAAGAAAATAAGGGATAATGGGGGAGGTAGTTTAGGAGAAATTTTAGGAGAAGAGATTATTTAGGTTATTGGGAAAGATTGAGAAAATTTCTTGACTGCTATATATATATATATATATATACATATATAAAGAGAGAGAGAGAGAGAGATGCATGTAATGTCACGTACAGGTACGAGTTGGGTATCAATTTGAAGATTTTACACTACATCGACCTGGGATTTTAAGCCAGCCGGATCCATTGCAACTTTAATAAAACCCTAATCTGCCCAAGTTGCATCCCTATGTCTTAACCTGATCCAAACCTAACTAGAATTAAAAAGTCTAAACCCTAACCCAACTCTCGATCCAATTAATCCCTATCCTCTTATAACATGAAATTGGCTTTCCTGTACAGCGCTTTACCTCAACAGGACTCTTAAATCAAAGGCTTAAAAATTGACTAGCAGAATTAAACTCAGTGATAATTTCTCTTGATATGTAGTAGACTAGTAGTGTGTGGAAACAATATTTAAGATGAGTTGTTACGCATTGAATGGTGCAAGGACTGTCATTGTCTTTCATTCAGATTTTTGTTGACACAGTCTGTAACATAAGCATTCATTCCTTCAACTCTTGAGATCTGCCACCATTAATGGATGGCTGAGAAATGTAGTTCATTCTTTTTTTAGCTCAGAACCACAATTTAATAATTTAATTTAGGGCCCAGTATTTTTTATTCTTATTTAAATCAAACAGACTATGACAATAGATCATTCCAATTTCGATTCAAGAAATCTTGATTCCGACTATGAACAAAGTTTTACTGAATTGAGTAGGGATAATCATAAAAAACGGAATCGAACCGAAGAAACTGAACTGAAAAAAAAAAAAAAAAAACTCATTAACCAGGTTCTTAGAATGGTTCAACTTCAAACCGTGAAAACTAAAACCCAAAAGGTCTACCAGATCATCGGTTCACCAGTTCGATACTTACCAAAAAAGAAAAGTCACCAGTTGGACCGTCCACTCTAGGCCGAGCCTAACAAGGCTGAGTTGAGGTATAGCATAAGTGAAGAGTCTACTTGGATAAAAAGGCGGTCTCCTTGGCATTTCCCGTTTATTATCAAGTATAAAAATCTAAACCAATAAACAACAGACACGTGTATCGAACTTTGTAGTAAGGATGGACAAGTGGCACCAACCACAAACATCAGTTCACTTCCAAACAAAAATGGAAGTGTAGTGATGGTAATTAAGATTAGATAATCATATTCTCTGATGTTTCCCAGAAGCTAATACATGATACATACATCCATTAATCAAAGCAACTGCTCTGGATAACATGGATCACACGTATGACGTGGACTTGCCAGCCAAACGCGTCCTCCCAGATGTTCTCAGCTTACATGCATTACCTCATAAATTGATAATTGATGTTGGACTCACCACTCTGCCAAGATCCACTACGTGTCATCCACATATCCGTGTATTCAGCAATTCACATACGCGTATCATAGTGGTGGATTGGGCCTAGCCCACTACGTTATACTGGTGGGATTCCTCATTCCTCCCCCGATCTCTTGTGGCCGACAGTCCATAAAAAAAAAATCTAAAAACAGTTTTTTATTTAATGATTATTTGCAATTTATTTGACCAATTTAATTAGGGTTATCGATCAGGTCACGTCATCTCATCATCTACTCATCTTTGTTCTTTCTATATAAAAGACAAAGGTTTTGATTGGATGGGGGAGGTGGTAACCCATACAGATTATAATTATTCCCTGCACGGGCCAACCCCTTGCAAGAGTCGGTGGAAGAATGATGTGGACAGCTTGGCCCATGGCCCATTTCGGAGTACTAATTAGGGGAGGGGACCCATTTTAAGAACCTAACGTGTAACCAGTTGACAATAGCCGCGCGGCATCTCACCATGAGATAGGTCTCATTTGGATTTGGGTACCTACCTCTGACTCTGAGCCTCCATGAAGCTTCAGAAATTTTCATGGAAAGACAGCCTCTAGTAGGAAGTCTGCCACGTACGTGATGTAGGAACTAGGAAATAGAGTGAAGCTTTCTTCTGAGCTGCCACATGTAGGATTTACAGTCGTGAATAGCCCTGGACGGTCGATCTAGTCTCTGTTCAACGTGTGACGAGAGCTCATGTGTGGCCAAAATTCCTGAGATGCTTCAGTGGAAGAATGTGAGAGTAATCCTTTTGTCCATAAAAAGTAGACTTGATTATGCTTCGTCCTACTTTCCTCCTTGTTAATTTTTTTTTCGAGCAACAGTTGCACGCTTCTACTACTAGCTAGCCACGATCTTTGAGTTCTTCACATGTCGAGTGATCAGAGTCAGAGAGATACGAGCAATGGAAGAGAAGATCAAGGTGACCATCAGGTTAGGGACATCCACGCTCTAACGCCTCCGAGTAGCGGGAATCGAGTTCGGCAGAGAGAGTCCTGGGATACGAGTAGCGAAGGAGCTTCCAGCGAGAATTTTACAACCATGAGTCGTGAATTCAATGCTCTCGTGCTCGCGGGCTCTGTAATCGGCGGGAACGGTGCCAACGAAAACGACGGTGGTATCACCGTAAATAACCTTGCGAGGATTGGGGAGGAAGAGCAATTGCCGGAGGAGACGAACCCATTGGCCATTGTCCCAGATAACAACCCACGGCCGGACCCCGTCCCTTCTCCGAGACGCGCCACCGCCGGTGGTGGTGGGTCTTCGACGAGTCTCATAACCGAGGAAGTGACCATGCAGAGGGTAAGGCGGGAGGAGACTGAATCGAAGATATCGGCGTGGCAGACGGCCAAGATTGCGAAGATCAATAACAGGCTCAAGAGGGAGGACGCCATCATTAATGGGTGGGAGGGAGAGCAGGTCCAGAAGGCAACATCTTGGATGAAGAAAGTTGAGGTACGTACGTAAGAATTAAATTAAACCCTGGCCTTTTTCTTCTCCTTCGATCTTGATCGTTCATCTTATAATAGTAATTCTTCTCTGTAAATCCTGGATGGTTTAATTGAATATTGATCTCATCAGGATGCTGTTCAAATGTTGTAACAGAGAAAGCTTGAAGCGAAAAGAGCGAAAGCACTGGAGAAAATGCAGAACGAGGTGGCGAAGGCACATAGAAAAGCAGAGGAGAGGAGAGCATCGGCGGAGGCCAAGAGGGGAACTAAAGTGGCTAGGGTTTTAGAGCTGGCCAACTTGATGAGGGCTGTTGGTAGAGTTCCTACTAAACGATCCTTCTTCAAGGCTTAATAGATACCAACAGTGTTTACAATAAGCAGCTAGCTAGCTTGCTAGCCCAGTAGACAGTACAGTAGTGGCGCCCTTCATCTTTTGAATATTGAAGGGTGCCCTGGTTATTGAGAGGTTTAATTTATATTTATTAAAGACTTTATCCCATCAAATAGAACACAAATTAAGAACTGTAAATGCTTGCTTAGGGTTTAAGTTGATTTTTCGGGTGTGGTTTGTTAATGTTACATTGTTGGTTATGTGGGTGATGATCGAAAAAGATTTTCTTTCTTTCATCTGTCATGTACAGTTAAATTATATAGTCAGTATACCAGTTTGCTTGCTTATGGCGGTGCATCTTTGGTTTGATATAAGGGAAATAGAAGGCTGAAGAAAAGTTGTTAATATTTTGTTTGTCTCTGCGTTAATTGCAAATGAAGTAAAAGATTAGTATGAAGCAAAGTAATTAAACTCTAAAATAAAAACCAACCAGAATGTAAATTCTTTTCATTAATTTCTACTTTCATGCATTTGTACCAGTACAAATGAAATTTGCATTGCAAATAAATGGAGCGTTAATTCGAAATTTGTAAATTGTAATATTTATTTGTACATCTACAATTCTACTCGTAAGAATTGTGATACTTGGCCAGTCTTGATATATACAGTGTAATTCTGTATCATGTAGGCACTCCTAAATACGGATTGGATTTAGTCCTTACAACACCGAGCTAACACCATACTTGTGTATTGGAAATATCTTCATAATTCTATACTTTTATTGATGGGGAGATATTCCTAATGCAGAGATAGGATCTCTAACTCTTTATAGCAGAGATCATCCCGCTGTTTTGATATATACAATCTCATATGTGTTGGTTTTTAGGCTTACCAATGTAATATAGGTGGGGTGGTCTCATTTCGTGGGGAACGGATTAAAATATTGATATACCCTATACACTCTGGTTATTGATGCTTAATTGCTTATGGATATGACTGATACTTTTGATTTTGATTTTTTACTTTTTTTTTTAGTTTTATTGGTCTTAAAGGGTCTCACATATTATTTTAAAGTTAAAACAAAAAAAAACTCTTATTTTGATGTATTCAAGTATTTCTAGATACACCAATATAGATATTTAATATGCCCTGATATGTTATAATTTGCTACAAACCAATGGATATATAAATGTAATTGCTAAGAATTGGACGCAAATGATTATCCAAATGAAAAGAGGAAGGTTTTTAGATTTTTCTACCACTAAGGTGATGTTTGGTAGTGTATAAATATCGTGGACGAGATCGTTTTGGTCCTGTTTATGGTAAGATATCGTGTTTTGCTATGTGTGGATGGTCCCGTCCACAAAATAGCGTGGATATAGATGGGTAACACCCCAATTTATCATCCATAGTATTTTTCTCGTGGATGGTCCCCACTATGGTGTGAAGATTTCAGTGTAATACACCTGTGTTACATTGGCCCAATTACTCACATTTTATTTAATTTTTTAATATTTTATTAATAAAATAATAATTTTTAATATTAATTCTAGCACAAGTTAGATGGTTCTCCTTCTCAACTCTTTTTTCATTATTTAAATATTATTTTTTAATATTTTTATCAATAAAATCATATTTAAAATATTAATTTTTTATTTTTAATATTTAAAATAATATTTTTTAATTATTTAAAAAATGCAATTGTTGTCATGCATTTTTTTCAATTTATTTACCATATAAAATGCAAAAGTTAAACATTTATGATCAACTGTGTAGATCTCTCATAAAATGTATATGAGATACATGGAATCAAAAAGTGTGGTGTGAGACAGTCCACAGTCCACACCACTAGGCCTGTTCATGGGCCGGGTGGCCCGACGGGCCGGCCTGGCCTGGCCCGACCCCCGGACGGGCTTGAATATGCTTATAGGCCCGCGGACTTAAAGTCGGGCCAAAAAGCCCAGCCCGCAATAAATTCGAGCTGGGCTCGAGTTTTGTCAAAATAGCCCGACCTGACCTAATATTAAACTTAAAATTAGTTATGTGATTATGTCCATTTGAATAAATTTTTTGATTTAAGAATGTAAAATTGTGTTTTAAAATATAAAAGAAAGGGAAAAATACCATCTTGTAGGCCCATTGTTCATTTAAATAGAAAAAAAATACTATTTGAATTTTTAATTCTAATTTGAATAGGGAAAATTGTTTTTTTTTTCAATTAGGTCGGGCTTCGGGCTCAGGCTCGGGTTTCGGGCTTTTTACTAGGGCGGGGCTCGGGCCCAAGTTATAGGCCCGTTGGTCGGGCCAGGCTCGGGCTTGGGCCTAGTATATTTTCATTAGTGACAAGTGAAAGCCCGACCCGATCCGACCCATGAACAGGTCTACACGCCACCGTGGGTGTGGACTGTCCACAGCTTAGAACAGCTGTGAACTATTCGACTATGGCATGGTAGTCCACACCAAGCAACCTCTCATCTACACTATATAACACCCCCTCATGCCTCAACTATCTTAGTATAATTTGTTAAAATCATAAATACTTCACATTTTAACTTTTTATGCCATCTTTATCAACTTTTTTAAACTAATACTATAATATAAAACAACTAGAAAAAGTAAAAAAATTAATTAGTCATTCAAATCAGCAGTTTCCAATTTCCTGGTTTAAGTCATATTTAAAAATTTACGAAATTTCGGCTGAAATAAAAACATCCTGAATTTTTCATGTTGCCGCATCCGAAACAGAAATTTCGCGAATCACCGAAACTTGACATCATGGACAAAAAACAAAAACAAAACGATACAAAGGAGTCAAGGACCGTTAATCGGTTGAAAATACGGAGTGGTACATCAATACATTTGTGTGTAGAGAGCCGTTGGCGAAGGGTTTTGAGGCCCGGGAGACACCCGTCAGTCCATTTTAGGTTTTAATAAGACTCTGAACTGTGAAGGGCCTGAAGGCCGAAGCCCGAAGGGAAAAGAGAAAAAAAGAAAAAGACGGAGAAAATAAGAAAACGAAAAAGGAAAAAGAAAGAAAAGGAGCCATTAAAACGTCGGAGGAAGGAAAGAGGGAGGAGAGAAGAAATGACGAAAGCCGGGACTGAGAAAAAAAGAGCCCGACGATTCACAGCAGTTGCAAACGGCACCAGAGATGGAAGCGGCGATGCTCCAACTAGGGTTTGTCTTTTCTGTTTCTTGTTGTTTATCTATCTCCTTCTCTCTTTTGCCTTTCTTTTTTTTTTTTTTAATTTGGTTTTCTGCGATTTCGAATGTTGAAGTTGAATCGATCTTTTCCAAGGACTGTGATTTCGAATGGGTCGAGCACTGTTTCTGAACACTCGGTTTTAGGACGTACTAATTTTTGTTGATTATGAACTGGATGGGGAATTGAATTTGGATACTTTTTCATTTAACTAGGGGTTTTCTTCGTTCTATTTAGCTTGAGCTTTGCCTTAGAAATGCTATTTTTTTCTAGTCTTTCTTGAATTCTACTTGCTTATATGGGCTTTTGACATCCTATGGTTAAGAGGATTCGTCAATTTTACCTGAGAAATGGGGTTGTGTCTCTTTGACACTCCATAATTAGATACCGTTTAGACCTTACATGCCCAACGTCAGAATAAAAAAAAAAAGTGATTTTGGATTCCTGAGATATCACTTGGCGCTGGTGCCCCCTCATCTTTGTACACTGAAGTTCCTTAGGCAATAGAAGGATGATCTCAGCCGGAGTGCCAATGGTGGGAAAGGATATCCAGCTCAAGTACACAAATAGTTGGTTTTATTGGAAGGGCAACTTATCTGAGGAGGCATTCAACATTTTTTTTTTTCCTGAGAGCTTTTTATTTTATCAGCTCAATCGATACTGTTAATAATATTCATGATTCATATAGTGAAGCTATGAAAGAATAATAGTAAAATGGCTACACATTTTTTCTCAACCAGTAATAAAGATCAAGGCTTTAATGATGAATATGCGAAAACCTCTCCTATAAAGTGCATAATAACTAGGGATCTATTACAACTGTATTAATACCAAAGCAAAGAAAAAATACAGCCTACAGAAAAATGCGGACAAGCCCGTATACATGATATCTTAGTTGATTTGCTACCCCTGTGATTCTGGTACTGCCAGTCTTCCTGTTCCTTCTCTGGAAAGAGAATCTTCTAGGGTATTAGCTGACTGTTGGATCTACTTGAATGAACTGTTCAATAGGACAGCTAAGACTTTAGCCTCTAAAATAGAAAGCCTGAATGACCAAGGACATTTCTCAATTCTCAGCCACTGTCATCCACCTTATCACTACTTCATAGTCCCACTCAATCAATAGCCGACTCAAACATGAAGAATATGGCAATGTTAAGCCTTTTGTGAGGAGCAAATGGTTCAGATATAAGACACATTCCTTATCCCAATCAACTCTAGAGTGTCTGGGGTTGTCTAACAACTGACCAAAGCACATTTTTCCTTAACCTCTTGTACTAACATAATTTCATACAAATCCTCTCCTTGATATTGGCTTGGATGTTTTGACCATTTCCAATTGAGGAGTTAAATTTATACAGAACATTTCATACAATTCTCTCTCTCTCTCTCTCTCTCTCTCCCCCCCTCCCTCTAATGGATAAAATTGTGCTTTGGCTGACTGAACTGAGAATAATTCTTTGAATGCAGTATTTCGGTTGCTTTGTTAATACAATTTCCTAATTTGTTCATAATATTCCTGTTGCAGAAGCAAGGTGCCAAGAAGGATGCGTTTCAATTGTTTGCTGATAAGGTGAGGGACCATAAGGATTTGGAATCTAGATGGGCTGTTTTACAGGAGACACGGGTTGAATATTTCAGAGGAAAGGATTTTGTTAGCTTTCTGAGAAATCATCCAGAGCTCAAGGAAGTACTGGAATCTGATAAGAATTTAGAAGCAGAAGATATTGCTAATATTTTGTTAAGGAAGAACCTTTTAGTCCGATGTGATCGTGTGGTCAAAACTGTTCGGCCTGGGAAGAAGAAGTTATCTACTTGGCCTGCACATTTAGAGATCTATTCTGTAAGTTGCGTTTTTCACATCTACAACACCCATAAGAAGAAGTGCAATCTGTTGCAATTTGAAGGGGCTAGAAGGGCTAGGGGCAGACCAAAAAAGGACATATTAACAGAACAGAATGGTGAAACAGGATTAATGTAGCCAACCTCATATAGTAGGGGATAGGGCTTAGATTATGATGATGAATGCATTTTTCGCCTTTCTTTCTGCCACTTTTTTTTTTATCTTCTTTGAAGGAAAATTTGAGCATTGATGGTGCTTTTTCTAAGTTATTCTTACTTCAAGGAGCATTTCTTGTCACTGGATGTTCTTTCTGCTTATATTGTTTTTGGTGCAGCATATGAATTAGTTGGATATTTAGTTATTCAATGTTCTGCTTCTCCAAAGCACTGATTTTAAATGTTTTTCATGACTTGATGAAGCCTTTATTTATGTATTAAATGGTGTATGTCAACATAAGATCATTCTCTTCCCCTGTTGGTATTTTTAATGTTGGGATGTTTATCTGGTGCTATGGAAATAGGTTAAATATGATGTGTTTTCTAAATATTTGTCCAAATATTGCTTTTGATGAATTGTCATGTTTCAAAAATTTATCTAATATGTTTATGGTTCTTCTATACTACAAGTGCATCTCATATAATTTACTTTCTCATGGTGTATTTTGTAAATTGATAGATTTGAAAGAGGATTTTGGTAATGTGAACGTAACAACCCTTTGTATTAATATATGGAATCTAGCCTTTCGTAAACTGGATATGCTTTTCTGTTTTTCCTTTCCATTACAGAAGTTCTGAGTCTCCAATAGCAGAGAACAACAGATTCCAGGTGTCTTTGAATAGTTAATGACATTATAATGAGCTTGTAGCAGGTCAATAGCGTGTCCCATCATTCCTATGTGCATCAAATTCTGTTTCATAACTTGTCTTCATCACCTTTTGTTGTGCAGGATCAAGTGTTCTCCGAAAATGATGCCTTTTTTGCATGGACATTTGCAAAACGAAGGCCACTTTGGCAGACAATTCTCTCATTCCTTTGGCCTGTGTTGACACTGGCAATTTGCTTGTTCCCTGTGTTTCCCCATCAATGCAAATTGCTAATACTCTACTCCTGTGCTGGGGTCCTTTTTCTTATACTCTCCCTGCTTTTTTGTAAGTTTTAATCTTTTTAGTTTAGAATTTGTGCCAATTTTATTTGCAAGTCTATATCTTATCTCTTTCTTTTTGTGAAAAAAAAATTGTTAAAGAGTAAAGAGTGTCAAAGAAAACATAGCATCGGCACATTTTGTTCCAGAAATAATCTCCCTTTCACATAATATTTGGTATATGTAATTAGCTGCTAAGTGAAAAAGAGTAGATACTTCTCATTCCTGTATTTCAGTTATAGTGTCAATCTTTGTCATCAGTTGTGAAAAAAAAGCTTTCACTTGCATGTATTTGATGGTTGTTTTCTTTTAACTTGCAGTGAGATGTGTTGTATTTGGTGCTATATGGATCATTCTTGGGAAGCGTGTATGGCTTTTCCCCAATATACTTGCAGAGGAAGCAACATTGAAAGAACTATTCCAGTTTTGGCCCAATAAAGATGAAGAAGAACAGCCTAAGTGGACGGCAAGGCTTTTCTATGCAATAGTAGCTGTGCTGGTCATATTACTACTCAGGCACCACGCACCTGATGAGGCTGCTAGAGCCAGGTTAGTTGTAATATCTGATCTTTCATTTTGTTTGGCAAAATCACTTGTGCATGCATGGTGCAACACTTAGCTTGCTGCTGTGGTTTGAGTCATATTATACAAACATGTAGTGGAATTTATCTGGTGGCTACACAAAATGTTTTGAGGGCTAATTAGTCTCCAAAAAAAAAACAACATACATGAATATAGTGGTTTATAAAGTCAACAATTTCATTTTTTCCCCAAATGTTTAGTCTCAAGAAGAAATATTACTTTGTGCAGATATCAGAAGCGGGTTTCAAACATAATTGATGATGTTCTGGAGTGGTCACCAAGACTAGCTTTGTCAGGAATGATGGAGAAGCAACAGACTGTGGTTAATGTAACAGAGGCCAACAGTCATCCCAGTGAAGGGAGCACGGCAAGTAAAGAGGAGGCAGCTCCACCTGATGGCATGCAAGAAGAAACCAGCTCATACCAACCTGATGTTGAAGTTGATGAAAATGAGGGTGTTGATGATCATCATCATGATAATTAATAGCTTCTTTTTTTCCCTTTTTGTTTCTTCCCAATCTATTTCTAGAGCGTATAAAACTGTGTAATAGGGCCATGAGCATTTGGAGTTAAAAAAAATTGTGTTTCTTTTCCCTAACAAAGCAGTTGATCTCAATCCTTGTCCTTTATTTTCATTCATGGATAATAAATTTGGGGTCCCTTCCAAATGGCTATTCTAGATTCCAGGGCAGTTTAAGGTCAATTGTGGGATCACATTTTTCTGCCATCTGTGCCCTTAATTTATGCAAACTTGCATAGATTTCTCTACTTGCTGGATGGTCTTTCCCACTTGCCACAAACCGATGTACTCTATTCTCAATCTCAATCCAGCTGCAGCCTACTTCTTTGCTTACCTTCCTGTCATTCATCATTGTTCTCACTTTTGCTGCCTCATTCAACATTCCCCCTGCGGTATACAAGTTAGAAACAAGTATATAGGAGGCTGCTTCTTCAGGTGCCAGATCTAGTAAAAATTTTGAAGCAACCTTTCCAATACTGAAGTCCCTTTGTAGCTTACACACATTCACCAAAGTTCTCCAAAGCAGAGGTGACGAGGCAAATGGGCTTCCCTTAATAAACTCCATTGCTTCGGATAAACGCCCACCCCGGCCCAAAAGATCAACCATGCAGGCGTAGTGCTCAATAACCGGCTTTATCCCAAAGCTTGGTACCATAGCATTGAATAAACGAAACCCATCTTCACATAGGCCTGAATAACAGCAAGCTTGAAGAACAGCCAGTAGAGTGAGCTCATCAGGCTGATATCCTCTCTTTTGCATTTCTTCAAAGAGAAACCATGCTTTTTTCCCTTGCCCATGAAGGGCAAATGCAGAAATTGCAGCATTCCAGGTGATGGAATCATGGGTGTCCATTCCATTGAACATCTGGTAAGCATCTTCTATGCTACCACATTTGGCATACATGGTAACTGCAGCGTTACCAACAGTAGTCTCAGATTCAAGTCCCGCTTTGATGGTGTATGCATGTAAGCTCTTCCCCTGAACTAGAGAAGCTTGATCAGCAGATAAATCAAGCAGCAATGAAAAAGTAACTGCGTCTGGTCTTATTCCAGCTGATCTTATTCGACTAAACAAAACCATGACATCTTCGTGGCCTCCATCCGTCTCTATGTATCCCGTCAGAATTGCATTAAATGAGGTGATGCTATGATTGGATAAACTATTAAAAACCAGAGCTGCAGACCTAATATCTTTGTGTTTGGCATACATGTCTACTAAAGCAGTCCCCACAAATGCATCTGATATATACCCAAGCTTTTCTACAAACCCATGAACTTGAAGCCCTAATCCCAAGCTTTTGTACTCTGAGCAACCATCGATAATAGTAGCCAAACAGTTAGAATCAACGAACATTCCCATGTCAAGCATCACCATGAACCCGAAAATGGCTTTCTCACCATAACCATTTTTAACATATCCAGATATAAGTGCCGTCCGAGAAACCAAATTCCTCTCATCCATTGTGCAGAGCATTCTCTCGGCATCTTCCATCAACCCATGCTTCCCATACATTGTAATTAGTGCATTTCCAACCGAAATTTCTCTTGTGAAACCATATTTAATGGCGAGTCCATGAAACTGCCTGCCTTCTGCTGCACCAATTTTCCCATGGCAAGCACTAATGACATTGGTAAATGTATAATCGTTTGGCTCCAAACCAGAAGCTTGCAACTGAGAAAAAGTCCTAATTGCTTTCTCCCCATCTCCTGCATTCCTGTATTCTAGGATCATCGAATTTAAACACCGAACATCAACATCATCCAGCTCCTTGAGCACTCTCTCTGCGTCGTCCAATGAGCCACTTCTCGAATACATGGAAACCAAAGAGGTACCCACGAAGACATTCTTCTCGAATCCGCTTTTAATGACCAAACCATGAATCTGTTCTCCTCGACTTCGATCTTGAGGGAACCCACATGCCCGCAAAACCACCGTGCAAGTATGTTCATTGATCTCCTCTCCGGACCGATGCATCTCCTGTGCAATCCGAAAGACAGACTCGAAATCATTGACACCAGAGTACCCATTCATTAGTGAAGTCCATGTGATTGTGTTTCTTATTATCATTTCTTCGAAGACCCCTTGTGCATCTTCCAACCGGCCAAACTTGGAATACATATTGATGAGGTTATTGCCCGGGAAGGCATCATTTTCAGGGCCCGATTTAACCAGAAGCGCGTGAGCTGCCAGTCCTAACAAGATGCCTCTAGATTCAATTGAGATTTGGAGGAGCCGAAGCCAGTGGTTGACCAAAACAGGTGGTTGAGTAGCTGAGATGCTCGACCTAAGACGTAACCGGGTTGTCCTGGGAGGTTGGTTTTGTGGGTGGAAGAGTTTACAGAAAGAGCTGAAGCGGCTGTCAGGCGGTTTCGTTCTCAACGGAGGGAAATGGTGATGAAACTTTGAATTTGGAAGACAAGGAGAAGGGGTTGAGGGAGAAAGGACGGACATGGAATTCTATCAAACGTTTGAAATTTTGGTTTTCTCAATGAGCCAGTTTTTTAACCATCGGCTCGCGAAAGGCTTAAAACAACCGACTGCAAAACCCGTTTGTGTTTGGCAACTCCCTGCCTTGGGTTCATTTAAGGAGGCAACAGTCAACAGAGACGCATGATCTTTGATTCCTGTATCATTGCAATGGTAGGGGATGGATTGGACGGACCAATAAAATACATTGAACTGGACCAGTTCAGACTTGATGATGGTCCAAATATTTATTAGATTGGATCGAACCTGGTGCATCTGTAATGAATTTATATTGGATTAGGTCAGATTGAACTAATATCCTTATCCATCGATAAAGATAAGAATGCAGGTGTCAATGGATCAAGTTTGGGTTAAAACCAATTTGAACAGATTAAATGTTTAGACATTGAAATGGATCAGTCCAAAATATTCTAAATATTCATTGAATTGGACCTGATCCATCTGTAATGGACTCATATTAGACCAGATTGAATTAGACCAATATCCGGTCAATTGAGATGGTATCTTTTCTTATACAAGCAGTAAGAAGGGATAAAGGTGATCTGAGTTCCCACTAACTATTGGACGGGAAGCAAACAGAGTGATTGATGCACCTGGGATGGGTTTGCTCGAGATGAGAAGTGGAAAAAAAAAAAAATCAAATTCCTCTCTGAATGACCAAATTTTCTGCCTTTTTCAGTAGGAGTGCTCATGGACCGAGTCGTGGCAGGCTTTCTACCTATGTTATGTTAAGGGCTATAGTTCAGGCCCAGACTCCGCCCGGGCTGGGCTTTGAGAAATATCATTTATATTTAATGAGAAATATTGAACTGCTTTGACTAATAAAAAAAAAAAAAAGAAAACATGAAGTTTTGATGAATGGCACCTACCACATGTCCACATGTCGGTTGATGGCAAGGCTTAGGCACTATATAGAGAGAGTCAAGTAGGTATAGTTTGATATGGGGGTTTGAATGGATTTGATGGTGTCTTGTTCATGTATTACACTTGTAGAAGTAGAACCTTTAATAGGGGATCTAATAAACGTCTAAGGTTGGGCTTGAGGCAGCTGAGGTTTCAAGTGAAGCTCAACCTGAGATAGGATGAAGTTCAAGCGGCAGGTTCTACTTCTACATTGTATGCATGGGCAGTGTGAGTCATGTGTGTACCCACTACCCTGCTCTGTGCTCTGTCCTTCCCCCTGAGTTTGCTGTAAAGCAACAGAAAACTATATATATATATATATACTGCCAAAGAAAATTACATATTCACATGGTATGGTAGAGCTGAACGAGGGGGAGGGGATCCATTCATCCACCATTCATCCAAATTCCAAAGCACATGCTGACATGCCCAAGCCCAACGGAACGGTGGTTCATCCATTCATCCAACAAATTCATCTTTAACGGAATGGGCGCCTTATAGGCACATCCACGGAACATCTCCCATGAATAACAACTAATAAATATGGAAAATGTTCCCAATGCATGATACCTGTGAGAAGCAGATCCCGTCTCATTGGCAATTAGCATTCTTGGGTGTTGTACATTCATCAACCATGCATCCTTTTTTCACTTATTAACCACACACGTGAACGGATGGTGGTTGCGTCCTTCTTTGGCTTGGCTGGACTATAGTTAAAATGCCTCCACTCAATTGGACTTTTCTTTAATTTTCAAAACCGAAACCTTCCATGTGGGATCCACATATTAGGTTGACATGATCACATGATGGATGGATAAATTCGTCAATTACCTGATTAACTAATTTATCTTCTATAGAATACCAACAAACAAACAAGACCTTAATTTAAATTCAATTTGACACCTTAATTTAAATTCAATCTGACAAAGCCACATTGAGGGAGAGACCAGATGATTTCAGGACAGGTCTATTATTATAACAGCTAAGTTTTCATTAGAACAGAAACAAGCGAGAAAGAAGGGATGAGACACGATGGATCATCATCATTCATCAACACCAACAATTTTCTGAATCAATTCAAGCAATGACCTATCAAAGGAAACGACACAGCAGAGAGGCTTAGTTATCAACAAGAAAACGAAACCACTCTTTAATTGAATTGTTGTTGAGGCCTTGAGGGAATGGTCTCCAATCTCCATCTTTCATCTTGGGGTCGCCCACAGTCTTGTACTCTTGGATTATTTGAGCTACTGTACAACGTATTGATGAGCTCAGGTGTTTCCCAATTTCCAATTTGTGCTTCCTTCTTCATGATATTTGGGTTGAATTTGGTCCAAGATAATTTATACACTGGCCCCACTAACGGATGGGTTTGGATTTTGCAATCTATATGTCTTATCATTTTTGCTTTACTATATGTATATATATATATATGTCTCCACAAGTTTCAAATATTATAACTTTTAATCATTTAATATTGATTTTTTAATATTATATGTATCAATATTTATATATATATATATATATATATATATATATATATATATGATTTTCTTTTCTACTCAATAATAAATTACAATTTTTAAATAATTACTTATTCCTAAACCATCCAACAATCTGTTATGCTGCAAACTAGTTTGAAGGTCAAAATTGGAAGAGTCCAAATTCCTGGACCCACCCTCTAAGCTTTGGAATTTGCGCTTTAATTTGAAAGTCTAAAAGTACAAAAGCCACCATTTAGGCTTTATGCTTTTAGGGTTTCAATATCCTGGTTTTAGGTTATTATTTTTGCTGCCAAGATCTGCAACAAGGGAGGAATTTGAAACCCTTGAGTTCGAATTCTGTGGACTCTTCGATTAATGGAAAGCGCGCACTTGCAAATGAAAAATGAGCATGCTACCTTATCAAGTTAACAGAAATTTAACGAAATTGCTCTGTTAAGGTTGTTGGTTCGGATAAAAAAGTGAAAAAGCGACAAAACCCAACAGTACTTTTTCCTCCCCGAGCAAAAACTTATCTAAACACATTTCCATTACAACACAAAAACAGAAGGGTTAATTTCTAATCTAGGATCTTCTGATAATAAGTGGGGTTATTTTGGTCTAATTAATATAAGAAAAAATTTGGAAAAATTCTCGATTAGTACCTTGTACTTTTTACCTAGTGTCACTTTGATCCCTAAACTTTAAAATACGATAATTTACTATACGAACTTTCAAAACGTGACAATCCAATACCTACCGTTAATCAGATGTTTAGCTCCCATTAAGTGATATTTGAAAAAGATACAAATGGCCTTCAAGTGTCATTTAATTTTCTTTATCAATCATCTAAATGTTGACAAAAAATTAACAGTCCCAAATCCTTGCTTATTCCACTCAAGAAAGTTGGGATCACGTATGAGTGGGCATTCTGGTGACTCCAACTTTCTTAAATAGAAGAGGCAAGGATTTGATACTATTAATTTTTTGTCAATATTTGGATGATTGATAAAAAAAAATTAGATGATACTCGAAAACAATTGTCTTTTTCTAATGCTATTTAATGACTGGTTAACAACTATTTAACGGTAGGTATTAAATTAAATTGTCACATTTTAAAAGTTTGAATACTAAATTATCGCATTTTAAAATTTGGGGACCAAAGTAGCATTAGACCCAAAATACAGGATACTAATGGAGAATTTTCCCAAAAAGATTATATATTAAGGAACACTTGCAAAAAGTAGAGAGCACCCCTCATTTTGAGTGTTTTTTACTTGAAATTAAGTGAAATCCTTCGTACGCAGAGCAACAATCACGGAGCAAATAAAGAAAAAAAAAAAGGAAACGGAAAGTACGTTACGACTCAACTTCTAACAAACCAACTTCTTCCAAAAAAAACACAACAAACTGGGAAACTAGTTGAGGTGGAACCCGCCGGGATATGAAAGTTGATCTAACACGGTACTGACCTCTTTGTCTTTGGAGTTTCTTCTTAGGTAGAGAAAATTTATAAATCTTATCGGCAACAGCAAGGAATTAATTCTACCGGCATAGACCACAAAGTTCTATCTGTTTCTAAAGCGACAGAGGACCAATTGGCTGGATTCCTACCGTTTAAATCGAATATGAATACTTCTGCCATCAGCCTTTGTTCTTTCACTAGAGATTCACGATCCATCAATGGCTGCTCCGTACGCAATAGAAAATGAAAAGTTGTTTGTTTCTACTGGGTGTTGATTGGTTCTTTGGGAGAACAAATAAGCTTATTCTCCACGTATCCTTGTAGGGTTGGATTATGATACTGAAAGGGATGATACCAGAAAAACTTGAAACCATAAAAGTGTGATAATCAATGATGTGGTATTCATAATAGAGATGTGTGGTTGTAATTCACGGCGGGCAGAAAAAGTGAATAGGAAATCTCATTTACAAAAGTTTACCCATAATTCGCAAAAAAGTTAGGGCCCATCAACTGATATCAGTTTGATTGATCAATTCAAAACTCTTCTGGTATCATACCTTTTAAGCATCATAAATTTGTACATAGGTTCCACTATTATACCAGAAAAACTTATAACCAATATCAAAGTGGTATTCATCAAAATTCATGGAGAATTTTGATTGGTCAAAACTATTCTGATATCATGCATTTTTTTTAGTATAATAGATTCACCTATGTATTTGACTATAATAACTGAAAAACTTTTGCCTTTTTTTTCTTGGAAAAGCACAAACAAGCCTAATGCAGATTTCTGATTCCCACTGTAAAGCTATAAACATTCAAAAGGTCCAAAAACCACACTCTATGCACTCATATCTGTCCGTAAATTGGCATCTGACACCTATCAAAAATATACTTTACGCCTACAGATTCTGAACTTGGGGCTATCAGTCATTCTCCCTTCTTTTTTTACTCAAAGTGGAGGGGCAGCCACGATTTTATTAATCAATCAACCTCCAACGAAAAATCATTTAGAGGGGAGGATGTAGCCTGCCTTGTCCCAAGAACCAAACAAGCACACAACCTTACCCATTCAATCCTGACTAAATAACATTATAAAAAGCCAAAGAGAAAAAACCATGCCCATCTCATCAATCAATTCTGAAGATTGGAAGATGTAATATATCCATCCTCGCTACCTCAAATAAGTCCAGGGATTTGGGGAAATTTAATGTAGGAGGTGAACACATGAATGCCCAAGTTTGAACACATGATAACAGAAAAAAACTTATATAACTAATCAACCAGTATTAGAAAGCGGTAATCAATCAAGTGATACCAATTGAGCCACCATCAGTTGGTTTTTTTAAGGTGTAATTAATA